TACGGACCTCTGGAACGAATTAAGTACTTAATCCAAGGTACCACTGTATGCTGTTTGGGCCAAATGTTTTGCACAGGTGGCTGCAATGGACAAGACATGAATGTTATGTAACACTATGACTTTTATATAATCAAATACATCTTGAAAAGGGTAAAAAAAATGCCATATAAATGGATTTGGGAACAATTGGGGGGGAGGTATTAACAGTATGCTGCCCAGAACCCCCATCCCATTATAGAACTAATACATTATTAGTCGATAAGCAAAATTAATTTCAGCTAAAGAGCAAATGTAATGACTAGAGATTACTTTATGAGGACATCATATTTGAAATATCAAAATTAACTTCCCTAGTTTAAAAAAACATGCAGGAGAAATAGACAGTAAGTTAAAAAAATATAGAGAGCAGTCAGTGATTGAAACTTTGGGAAATCATGCAGTTCCGTGTTTGCCCTTTTTTTATTCAACACATTGACAAGGATGCTATTGGATTTCTCATTAGTGCTGAGAGACACTTTAAAAGCAGACTCGCTAACACTAAGCAGATTTGCATGCATGTGGACTGAGGCTGTTATTGGAGTCAGGACCTCCAATAAGGAGTGTTGCTACTTTTTTACATGCTCAACTCATGAAAATTAATCAGATGAAGACTTTCACCAACTCCTGTTTACAGAAAACAACTGCCCTGCGTGATGTCAAAGGTACAAGCAAGTAGATTCAGTAAGCTCTTTGGGGTTTTATGGGTTTCAGAGCTGAATTCACTTCACCTTGTAGCCTAGTATTTATATATATGCTTCCCATTATGTGTGAAGGGCACATGTGTTGAATTAGATAGCATTTAATTTTAAAACTCTGAAGCCAAGAAAGGATTAGGTTCTACAATTTCTTTAAGAAGTGCATCTAAGGATGCAGGAAGCTGCTTTCTACCGAATCAGATCATTGATACATCTAGCTCAGTCTTATGTACACTGACCAACAGCAGTTCTCTCTCATCCCTATGTGGAGACACCTGGGATTGAACCTGCTACCCTCTGCATGCAAAACAGATGCCCGGCCACCGAATTTATACATGCCACTCAGACCTAAGGGGAAAAGAGCTTTTGTACTTAATCACAAATGACAATCTGATAATCCAATTGTATTTCAACTAAAACAAGTTGAGGAATACATCCATTTGACTACATACGGTACCTTTTACAAAAAGAAGTAACATACTTGCAAACTGGGGTGCTATTGTTATTGTTTCTTTCTTAAATTTATATACCACCCTATACTCGCAGGTCTCAGGGTGGTTCACAAGATAAAATTACAATATTGAAACACAAAACACATAATCAAAATATAAACAGAATAGCCAAATAACCCCCCCAACACACAAAAACAGTTTAAAACTTTTTTTAAACAACAACAACAACAATAATAATTTATTATTTATACCCCACCCATCTGGCTGGGTTTCCCCAGCCACTCTGGGCGGCTTCCACAGAGACCAAAAATACACTAAAATGTAGCTTAATTGTGTACACCACATATTAGTTGGAAAAACACTGTGTTTTTAAAGATGTGCACATATGACAGGGAGCCCAGATCATCTGATTCCCTGGCACATAGGTGCAACTTTAAAAAATATATGCATGTGCCTATTTACATGTTTTAAATCTAATGAATCCAGGGGCCATTAGACAAATACTGGCTGGGTCTTCCATTCATTAGCATACCTTATTTCTTCGGGATGATGGGAAATATGTGACCCTTCTGACAGAGGTACTTCACATGTTTTCTCTCCCAACTCTTTACCCCCTGCTGGGTAATCCTTCCTCTGATGCTCCCTCCCCTGTGATTCCAATGATGATTCCCCACCCCCACCCCAATGCTTAATAGCAGCATGGAAGGGTGGACCTTTCCATCAAAATTGGAGGCGAGGGAGAGAAGGTTAAAAACTTTCCTCCCCCTGCAATTCCCCCTGTGCTGTTCAACTGCCCAGGGAACAACACCTGAAAGTGGTGAAAAGGAGAGTGAACTACATAAGGATTTTAATCCTTATCAGGTGTCTCCACAATGCATGGCTGATCTGAAGGCAGCCCTGTTCAGGGAAGTTTTTAGTGTGTGTTATATTGTGCTTTTAATTTTTTTGTGTGGGGAGCTGCCCCGAGTGGCTGGGACAATCCAGACAGATGGACGACATATAAATAAACAAATATCATCATCATCATCGGCATGGTATGTTGTGGGCCACGTTAAATTAGGCAGTGGGCCAGAATCAGCATGGGGAGTGCAATTTGCACCCTTCTGAGCAAGAGATGCAGGTGGGGAGGCATGATTCTTGGAGACTATGCATACTGACCGGCGAATGTGCACATTGCCCAGAGAATCCACAAAACGGGAGTTGAGGTGTGCCCATTCTACAGAGCCTGTGGGGAAGTTATGCATGATGACAGGGAAATATGCACACTTTCCTCTTCAGGGAAGGATTATGTACAAGACCTAATGGATGTACACACAGTGGTACCTCGGGTTAAGAACTTAATTCGTTCTGGAGGTCCGTTCTTAACGTGAAACTGTTCTGAACCTGAAGCACCAGCCTCCCGCTGCCGCCGCGCTGCTGCTGCGCGATTTCTGTTCTCATCCTGAAGCAAAGTTCTTAACCCGAGGTACTATTTCTGGGTTAGCGGAGTCTGTAACCTGAAGCATCTGTAACCCGAGGTACCACTGTAATGGCCGTTTGCTTTGCACACCAACGACTCAACTTATCCCTCCATATCTCTCCCCCCCCCCCGAAAAAAAGGACACAGACTTCTTGCAAGGTCCTTAAGTCTTGTGCATTTCCTCCAGGTAAAATTTCCCTAGACATTAACAGGGTGGAGAAGAGCCCTTAAGTGGGGGGAAGCGGGTGGAGAAGCCGCCTCGCCTTTGCTCCGAGAAGGCTGCTAAGGCCAGAGGGCCGCAGCGTGAGGCGGCGGCGGCGGCCCCGGCGAAGCTGAAGCCCGAGAAGAGTTGGGAGCCGAGGCGCCCGCTTGAGCAGCAGTCAAAAGCTCTGATATCGACACGCTCAGCTGCATCTTGTTAAAAGCTTCCTGCGGGTTGGCAGAACGAAACCTTTATTTAAAACACACAAAGTATCGTCGAGGGAGAAAGAAGCGGGAGGGGGAAGACGGCGAGGGGGCGGGTTAGGTTGGAAAGGGGGAATTGACGCGCTCTCTCGGTGAACCCAGCAAGCGGAGGGAAGCGAGCGAGGGCAACCGGCAGGAGGAGCACACGCCGTCGCCGGGTCGGGCGCGCCCGAGGCGGGAAGCACCGGCAGGGCGGGTCCTGCTCGGCGCTGCCCTCTCGTCCGTCCCCTTGTAAATGCAGCTCCTTGAGGGAGAGCGAGGGCCTCCCTCGTATTAATAGCCTGGGAATCATCTGTGCTTACACCTAGAAGAGATGGTGAGGGGGGAGGCGGGAAACCAGGCAGCTCCTCTGAAACCACCCATTCCCAGCCTTCTTAAAAGTGGTGACTAGGGTCATTAGCACCGTGAAGGTGTGTTATTTTCATGCCTTATTAACTGCTTCGTCGTCCAGGGCGGCGCGGGGGGGGGGGGCAAGAGGAGACAAACCCGCCAAAGAGGGAGGGAAGGAGGGAACGGCGGCGGGTTTTAGGACAGCAAGGAGCTGGCCGCTGTATCTGAGCCTAACGGGATAGCGGAGAGAAGGTCCGTCCGCCTCTGGGCCCCGTTTCCCCTCACCGAGCGGAGCGCGCGCGCCTCGAAGTGCGCCGGCGGGGGAAGCGGCGCGAGGCAGAAAGTTCAAGGAGATGTATGCTTGCCTTTTCGCAGGAGGGGGGGGGGAACAACCTCCCCCCCCCAGCCAAACCACGGGTCTTATATGAGGGGGTCACCAAAGGGAGAGGTGGAGCTGCTTCTTGTCAGGACTGAGAGGAGCGCGGAATAAAGTGGCGCCTGAGGTGGCAAGCGTGAGAAAAGGAGGGTCACTTTCCAGCGAGACCGCCTTTGTGTTACACGTGTCCCCCCCTCACAAAGCATTCAGACACCTTCAACCTGCCGCCACCCCTCTTCTCTCCCCCCCCCCCGCCACCCCTTTCTCGGTGGTAAAGCGCCAACAACCGTCTCGAGACGATAGTTTTTTCCGCTCCCTGGGCGGTCTTTCCTTCCGCACCTCAGAGCGCCCCCCTCTTCCTTTCCCCTGCGGCTTTTGGCCGAGTATAGGCAGGCACCGGCGAGCGCGCGCGAGAGAAAGCAAGAAAGCGCCTCGCCTCGAGCCACTGCCAGCCATCAAGTGGCTCGTTAAGGAAATGCAGGTGAGTGTGAGGAGAGCGGCTTCAGCTGCTGCTGCTGCTGCTGGTGGTAGTAGCGGCGGCGGTGGTGGGGATGAGCCCGAGCGAGGGAAAGAGAGAGGAGCTCGTGTTTGCGCGTGCAAGGAAGGGGACGCTTTTTGTGTGTGCGCTGCTGCTGCCGCCGCCGCCGCCTCCTTTCCCTCTCGCCGGCGGGAGGAGCGCGCCGGTTGCCTCTCTCTCCCCGCGCCCTGCGTGGGTTTCTTCGGAGAGCTGCTCTTCCACAGCACCGGCGTCGACTCCCCGCTATCCGTTTGCTCCGCTTCTGCCAAGGAGCTCCTTGACTTCCCAGCCTCCGCGCGCGCTCGCGCGCACACACACACAAACACACACTCCTCCTCTCGCCGTCCCTCGCCTTTTATTTATTTATTTTGCCCCCTTCTTTCTTTCTTTTAAAAAAAAGAGAAATCTTTCTCCTCGCCACCACACTCCTCCTCTTCTCTGGCAGCCTCAGCGCGAGGGGAGAGTTGCAGGTACCGTCTTCTTCGCGCCCTGGCAGAGCGGCGAATTGGGCACGGTGCGCGCGAGAGAGAGCGAAAGACCCTCTCCGGAGTTATTTATTGAGGGGTGGGAGAACGGCACCCGCTTGGCGATTGCGAGGAGAGAGGGAGGGGGGAAGGAGAGCACTTGAAGCGCCCGCCCGCCCGCCTCTCGCCCCTCCTCCCTCTCGCGCTCTTCTCCCCCTCCCTCCCCCGCACCCAGCCCTCCTCGCACCCGCAATCTTCTCTCGGCACCAAAACAAACCTGCTGGGCGTGTGACATGTGGTTGTCTTTGCAGTTCATTCGTGGCCTTTGTGGAATAGGAGCACTGCTCGTAAGGTGACCGGCAGGAGCGGAAAGGAAAGACTCCTTAAGATTTTCCGGAGAGGTCCGAGCTGGCTGCATTTAGTAAGTCGGTTTTCTTTCCTCCTTGACTCTTTATTTTTGTGTTTTGTCTCTTTCATCCCGTCTGCCCCGTAAGCAGATGCGATGCTGTACATACAACATCGCGAGTCATGTAACTTAGGGGCGGCGGCGACGACCATTGGTAGTGTGCATGGGGTGGGGGGGTGGAGGGGGAAAGAGTGCATTGAGCTTTTTTTATTCCTCCTTTTTCTATATCGTGAAGCTCAAATGTCAGAAGAGTTACAGGAGCAATGCTGTTGCTTTTGCTGGAGATGTTAAGTCCCGAGTTAAGACATATAGGAACATTCATCTGAACCAGCCCCCCCCCCCCGTTTTCCAACAAAGAGATGCTCTTCCGTAGACACCTAGAGGATTTTAAATGGAAAGGTAGCACTAGGTGTCAGTTAAGTCTTCAAGTACCAATACATGGTAGCAATATAGTCTTGTGGTTTACTTGCTTGGATACAGTTTGTCTTTACCTTAGCCCCATTCTTGGCTACCCTTGCCTTTTGAGACAGATTCTCAAATGTTAAGCATTGCCTACATCAAAACAGTGTTTTGATTTGAAAGTGGCACACGCAGGACACAACTTAGGCTCCAGATGCGGTGTTATTTTTTGCTGAGAATCTGTGTGTCCTATGGGAGAATGAATTTCGACAAGGCCATGGAGGCTGTGTGATTGAGGTTAGTTAATGACAAGGAAGTAAAAGCTTTGCCTGACACAAGGGGTACCATCTTGGAGCCTAAGAAACATCTCTGCATATAAAAAAAAAGTTTTAAGAGCCTTATTCCACTTGGGTCAGACAGACGGATTGTAGCTGGTTTGGTTTAGGTTTTGTTGACCACCTGAAGGGGATCTGAGGATCAACTTATTGCAACTGGACAAAATAATGAGCAGTGAACATAGCCAATCAAAAAAAAGAAAAGAAAAAGAAAAAAAAGAGAGAGTGTGTACACACAAACACATATACACACAGAGAGAGACTATGTTTTCAAATATTTAATAAAACCTTTGTCAGTGGAAATAGAGTTGAGTCAGTTCTGAATGTACTAGGTTGAATCAATAACATCTCAGCATTGTTTGTTATTGCCAAATGGATTTTGATTAGAATAATTTTGTGCTCCTAGGCAAAAAAAATTGGTACATGCTGCGGATCGCAATATCTACAGTCATGAATTAAACTCTCTTTTCTTCCAAAATAGAAACTACCTGTATCATGAAAGATGATGTGGCAGCAAAAATTATTTAATATGAGTAATGCTTTCATTGTTTTAATATTCCCAAGGTATTGAGGATTCACTATTTTCAGAGTTCCAATACCCTAGACAAACTATATTGAACATGCATTGCTCCCAAGTTCAAGTGTGACCATTAATTTTGAAAGTTTCCTCCTTATACTACTGCCAATGGCTGTACTGAAACATGAAAGTTTTATTTCTTGCAAAACTGATTTTCTCACTAGCACTTCTAATCAGATTTGTAATATGCACTGTGCTAAGGCCAATTAAGCAAAACTGGCTTAAGATATTAATACTAGCACAAAGTATTGCTTGGCATGTACAGTGAAGTCAGAATTGCTTACAGTTACCATAAACATACTGATGGGAGTACTAGGAGAGCATAGACTGCTAGTTCTAGGAAGAATGAATTAATGTTGGCTTCATGGTAGCTGGATTAGAATAGTTTTAAACAGCAGCATTTGTGGCCATTTAAAGGTTATTCAATGGTCTCTGAAACATGAAACAACTGAATGTAAGAGAGCTTTTCTTGCAAAAAATAAGTGTCTTGTCAGGAATTGTATTGAGACTGCACAAGATGGTCAGGTTCGCTTGGCTTATTAATAAAAGTGGTTCGCAACACATTAATGTATTCAGCCAAGCCAAGGGATTTGTTTGCTAGTTTTGCAGAATATTGTTTAGCACAGCAGCGCTGACTATTGTTGTTTGAGACTAGGATGCATTATCATATATTTTTTGGAAGTATTTTCTGGAAACTTTTTCTTTCTTTTTTTGGGCATGTTTTTTGAATGAGCACACATTTGATGGGAATGCTGAACCCTGTCTTTGAAAATTATATTTATATCGCTGGAATGACTTGATAGAATTTTCCTGAAATGTATACTTGTGCATATCGTGTTTAATATCATGCAATTGCATTTTGATAATATAAAATACAGGTGAACAAGAAACTGTTGTGGGCCAGTGCATTAGGGCACAGAGGAATTATGGGGGTAAAACCCTCTTCCGCTTTTGTGCTGTGAAGGTACTTGCATTTTTGAAGAGGATAGAATAAAGTTGCTGTTGTCAGCAGTAATGCATTTCATTATGCAATTGTTCTTGTTATTCAGATCAGATAATGGCCTGATGAAATACATAAGCAGTCTACAGGGAATGAATGATTAATTTCTCTAACGTGTGCTTACTATAGGACTTCTAATAAAGTACTGTCTACCAGTTCTTGCTTACAGTTGCAGTTAGTGGAGAAAAAATAGTATTCTGTACTTACTGTTGTTGTGTTAGTAGCGCTCATTTATTCTGTTAAATAAAAGAGAATCCTGAATTCAATAAGTTTGGCCTAATTCGTAAGAATAATAAGGTACAGCGATGACCCACCAATTCATTTTGTGTAACCTGTGGGTGTTCTGAATAAGCAAAAAGCAAGCAAGCATGATGCTCATGTAAAAATGCCATATGAAACATGTTGTTAAACAGAGAACGTCTAGATATTTCTTATAACTAGGTGTACCTTTCAATAACTTTCTTCCCAAGTTAATAACAAGCAAACATCCTAACATAACTACTAATGACTCGAACACAAAGCATTCTGCCAGTTTCAGGAGTACTCTTGAAAATTATTGAAAGTATTCAGTAAGTTAGATTCTTATCGTTTGTCGTCCATGGGCATTGCATTTTTAAAAGTTTTATGTTTAGTATGTGTCATGAAAATCGACTAATCTGTTTAGGATAAGCCGTGAGGATTCTTTTTCTTTTTGGAGCAAAAGAATTTAATTTGTCAAATCAACTCCATGAAAACGTAGCATAAACAGGGATGTTAAGAGTATCAGCTGTTGGAGCCGGTTAACAATGTTTCAGTGAGTTCATTCCAGCAATCTGCTGCACCCCCACCCTACCCCAATAGTTATTGTTGGAGTGACAAATTTTGTAAAGTACTTAAGCTGATCATTTTTTACCTCCAAGAACTAGTAGATAATTCATATACTTTAGAGGTTTTTCAATCCATTTTACATTTGTCTCCCTCCCAACAAACAGATGCTTTTCTTTTCTTTTTAAAGTAAAGCATAAAATGCATTTTTTGTTTTTGAAAGTTTTCCTGGTTTTTTTTCCATCAGCATGAGATTCAATTTTAATAGTTTTCTGGTAGGATCTTTGTTGAAGTTGATGAAGAACTGTTTGTTTTAGGCAAAATTAAACTGAAGGAATAATTGCATCATTTGGCAAGGCTCTAAACCTTTCTGGCTTTGTAATGTAAATTTCAGGGTGTTTTTCTATATAAAGTGAGCACACCCACAATCAAGAAGATAAAGGAAAGTCTTGTTCATAATGGGTATCTCAATAATAAAGTTTTGGATTAGCACAATATAATAATTATTTTTGAAATTCTAAGAACAGGACTTGTGCAGCTTAATCTTATATATCTACTAAAAGATCATTGTCAGTTCAATGGGACTGATTCTCAAGCAAGCATGCATAGGATTGCAGCCTTGGTATATGAGGTACTTTTTAATGAGTTTTGTAGTAATAGTGGCTTTGATACCATAACCGTATATGTATTATATAGTGTATTTGTATATGGTGACCTGAGACAAGACTATAAAGTGCAACGCTAATATTTTTAGATACATTACCAAGTCAACATGTTTTAACCGGCAAACTACTGTGTTGTGGATGAAACTGGGTTCTCCAGTTTATACTAAGATGTATCAATTGAAGTTCAGCTGAGCATTTGGCCCTAGTTAAGTTAAGCAATTGGCCTATTAAAAATTTAAAGAACCACTTCTATTAATGCTATCATTTATCAAATTGCAGTGAATTTTTCAGTTGTCGGCCACTGTTAACTGGAAGTGCAATTCCACAAATTGCAGCTGCTATTAAATAAGTTTGATGTCTTGTGGCAAGCATTCATGATAAAAGCTGCAAATAATTCAGTTTTGTCAAAATAAATGATACAAAAATTCAAAGCACAGTATGAACAATGCTCAAAATTGATAACTAATTTGTTGTAATGAAGCTGTGTAGAATGCCTGCTAGCAATGAGCAGTGTGACACCCTATTCATGATTAATAGATATGTTTTATGGGCCCCATCCCTTAATCTCTAGGACTGTAAGTGACAATAAGGTTAGTTTCTATATATCAGGAGTCATGGATCAAGTGTTCACAGAGCATAATTTTTATGTAGGTGGCAATTTGGACAACTTTGGACTGGGGAGCTATGTACTGTAATCTTCATATGGGTTTGGTATGTAGAGATGATATATTTGAGCAAATCTAAATTGCATAGGTAAAATGATTCTAATGACAATTCATCAACTGAAATATCTACCATGACAGCGATATGACCTCTTTATTAATTCAATTACTTTGTAGAGTGATAATATATTGAAAAGTTTTACAGTAAAGAATGCAGTCACATGGAGCACGTTGTACTTCAAACATCCTTAACTAGACGCGAAATACCTGGATTTTAAATGGAGCTGATGGCATCACAATGTAAAATGCAATTCAGGATTTGGAGCCATCCCCAAGTATCAGATTGAAAAATGACTTGCTGTATACTGAAACTATGTAACGTAAGGCATGCAAACACTATGCAACATGCTCTAGGTAAGACACAGAGTTGCAAATTTGTCCTTTGTTTTTTTCCCCCTTCCAGGTTGCTCTTTCCCTTGTGTGAAACATGAATGAGAGCAGGATATTTATTGTGCAAACTAGAATTCAAGACATAAGGCAGAATAAGGCTGAAATACATATACATACCTATTT